GTTTAGGTCACTTGAAAAAACTGAGATATAAACCCCACACACACACAACAAAAACCATTAGCGAGTTAAGACTACAGAACTCCACACACACGAGGCTTCGCACCTACGGCCATGCATGATTTAACGACCAGAGCAATACTGCAGGCCTTACCGTAGGATCCAGGGAGTCCTCTCTCTCAACAGAAAGGCTGTACGCGCTGTTACCGTCACCACTCATGCCTGACACGTGCTTCCGCTGGTTTGACCGGCCACGCAGAACATCCACACTGGCGGAACAACAAGTGACGACCATACTTTGACATCAGTCTCTCTCTGATTACCGTACAGACCACTGATTTCAAAATGGGGCCACCAGTCTTGATATCATCGGCCAGGGTCTAGTCACGGGCGTATTGTACCGTGAAGTGCGAAAATAGCAGCCTGAAGAACGGATAATTATAGCTCCTAACATACCAAATTTCACAATTAGTGGCGCTCCTGTGATAAAGCTCCCCGCTTCTTAATGAGTACAGCATATACTCGTACAGTGCAAACGGCAGTAATAAAAGGGTATGATGTACTGCGAATGGAGCTTTCTTGACCTAATTATGGTATTATCGCTACCCAGAAACACGAATGAAAATAAGATAAACCCAACAAGTTTTGGTTACAGTAAGTTCAATCAGTGCTTTCAGAGGTCACCTCCCCATTATACAGGGTGAATCGTATAGAACCGGCCCGATGAATTTGCTAATAATTCCGCAGGTGATGCATATAACCGCTCACAATTACGACATAATAATCCGTGGGCCGTGCTGAGTCGAATGGCGTGCGCATGTACCTGCAAGTGGCAGCCCTTATGCTGCAAGGTCAAGGACAATACCAAAACGTGTCTGCAGTGCACAGGCGACAGTCATGGAGTTCACTATTGAACAGCGAGTGTTTCTAGTGCCTACTTGAAAACGGCGGACACTTTCAACACCTGCTCTGATCACGGCACGCAATCCAAGATGAGATATGTGTAAATTACTTTAATATCTGTATGGTATATTTTATATTACAGCTCATTTCGTCGGGCCGGTTCTATATGAATCACCCTGTATGTTCATGCATGCACTGTGTGTGTGTAACAAAGTTACGGCCTGACCCAATGATACTCTCCTTCTGATCTTATATAATAAATATTAATATTGTCGAGTGTATGGGCGACTATAAACGGGGTTTGGATTGGTGAATGGACTTATTGACCTCTCATACGCACGATTCGGAGCTACAAGCAATTACAGCGCCACTACTAATCTCCACAGCACCCGCTAAGCCTTTTATAGCCTGACGTGTCTTCACCAGTCGTTCCCTGGCAACGGCTTCTAACGGTCTTCAGCTTCACGCCTTCAAGTCCTGTCTTCATAAACTCCCGTACAGGACTGAACTATCATCAAAGACAAAGTCAAGTCACACTGCGATTGCCGGTCGGTAAGTCAGTCACTCAGTCTTGGTGTCGAGCCCCATTTGGGGATCATGACTAGTTATTTACGACTGTTTGACAGTTACGGTCTTATTTTTGTGGGGCGCCCTCTCTGACGAGGACGCGTCTGTCTTTTGTCAGAGTCACTGTCTGCAGTAAGTCATTTGTCATAATGTAAAAAATATTTACATTTTACATGTTAAACATGTTAGTAAATGTATATAAAATATACACAGGGCGTCTTTCAGTCCAGGCTCAGTATAGTAGATAATGCCCTATTTCTTGTAGCTTACAGCAATCATAACTTTGACCCTTGCTTATAACATCTCGGCAAGGACCACAGAGAAAACAGCTCTGCTACTGTTGCACATCGATTCGTTGCTACGGGAACGTGTTTACCGATCCGTTGCCCAGAAATGGCCCTGGTATATCTGCCCATCTCGCGATCGTTGCTAGCTGCTACAATATACTAGTATAAAGGTCCATTAAATTTCAATTCGAAATTCCTAAAAAAAAAAGAAATAAAATTGCTAAAAATACCACCGCAATAACTTGAAAGGTTATGAAATGACAGTTACGTTCGTGCTATGATAGACTTGACAGAATGAGAATATGCTGCTCCTATCTTTGGAAAAGTTTGTTTATAAAAATAAACTCAATAAAAATATCTGATCTCGCTCTTTTTTTCCCGACTGGCAACAGAGCATTACAATGACCGTCATCCAGTTTACTACTAATCAACAGAGATACACTTCTTCAATCACAACTTGACCAACTCTTTTAACAGTCGATGGTTCAGTGAGCTGACCCTCAGAAAAAAAATGAAAACTGGCAGATACCTTACAAATTTCACTAACAGTTAATTGTTAAAGAACAAGAAAACCACCAAGTGTAACGACCTTTTACTAAAATGTTGAGTCAATAAAATCGCCTCACATGTTTCGGGCCTACAGGGCCATCTTCAGAGGCCCGTGAAATAAATGGCCATTAATTATGTGTACATTTAAAGTTACATAAAATGTATTACAAATATACTATATACTGTAACGTGAATACCTATTGCCAGGCCGCAGATCCGTAAACATGTTCCAACACGCAACAATAGAAGGTCTTCATCTCTAGGCCATGCCCGAAACACGAGCACACAATAGGGGAAGCTGTGTTTTCTTTGTGTTCGCGATGACGCCACAAAACAGTAGGTCCAGGTCACGTCACATGTTTTGTCCGCGCAAGGCGCATGCGCAGTGACGTCACCAAACAGTGCATAGTGTCATGTGATATGTTTTCTGTGGTGCCGTATAATCTGGTAGATATCTATCAATGTTTCGAAGGAACCTGCTTCCTCCATCTTCACGGTAGAAGAGAGGTAGGAACGTTGCATTTTAGGTTCCCACAGCAGTAACTATGAAGAATACTATCTTCTGGGATGTGACACGGTGTAGTCAAGTACGTTTGTTATGATGCCAGGATGAGTGTGGTTTAGGGTACCTGTTCAAGGATATGTCCTAAGGTAATGCCCCTTCCCGAATCATAATGAAACATCTTCCTCTTAATTAAGTCAAAAAAGGTAACACTTATTAATTCAATAACATAATATAATAAGTTTAAGAAAATCTGGTCTGCTCGCAATCACTTCGTCTCTATGCTGAGGTTAACTGGTCAGGCTGTGACAAACAGATCTCTAGATACGGAATACAGCAACTTTCTCGAGGGCGAACATGGTGGTGTTCGGTGCGTGCAGAGGTCTGTTGGTCAACCGGCTCCCTATTGCCTGCCGCCTAAGAGNTCGTGTGATTAATTAAATGAATAATATTTGCCAATATACAGTCAATACATATTCCTCAATATCCTTATACCTTCATGCTAACATCATGTAGTATACATGTCAGGTGAAGTCCTTTCTTAACACGTTCACAAGTGGATATACGTACATAGAACTACTCCCAGACACTGGGCCTTCGGAGTTACACAAGTTGGTAGACGTCTGCCAGAGGAAATGACGTCATAACCCATAAGACAGTAATCTTCACAGTCAGAACATGAGTAGATACATACAATTTAAGCGTTTGAGAACCATGAGGATATTGATTGGCCATTAGTTCTGATAAGCAGCGGTCAGGATAACGCAATTCCTGCTACGNTCACATCCTACATCATGTGGTCTGGTTACATTTCATACAGTCTGCTTGTATCTCGTATGATTAATTAAATGAATAATATTTGCCAATATACAGTCAATACATATTCCTCAATATCCTTATCCTCTTAAGGTAACATCAATATATAGTATACATGTCAGGTGAAGTCCTTTCATAACACGTTCACAAGTGGATATACGTACATCGAACTACTCCCAGACACTGGGCCTTCGGAGTTACACAAGTTGGTAGACGTCTGCCAGAGGAAATGACGTCATAACCCATAAGACAGTAATCTTCACAGTCAGAACATGAGTAGATACATACAATTTAAGCGTTTGAGAACCATGAGGATATTGATTGGCCATTAGTTCTGATAAGCAGCGGTCAGGATAACGCAATTCCTGCTACGATCTTCCATTTGCTGAACCCGCCACTATGTCCAGTCCACAGATAGAGGGAAAGAAGCATAGTGTTTCAATTACCCCCCACCACATCCATAAAAAGAATCGCTGCTGTCAGGTGTGGCCTGTCTCTTTAGTTCTCCCTCTCCTGACGAAAGTACAGATCCAAGTAGGAACATTTAGGTTTTCTACAGTATACCAGAGTTCCTCGTCTTTGTAGTGTGAGACCTGCATACAAAGTAAGAGAGTGGCAGGAAATTACAAACCTATAAATAAAACCAGTGCCTGGATTGTTACTTCTCCATTGTGGTTTGCACTCTCCGTTTCAGTACCTGTTACACTACACCCAACATTCAGTCAACGGAACGGTATCTAAGAGGTATGTATATGTAATAATATATATTTCATAAGTATATGAAATTAATTTATTATTTTATGTGTGATAATTGTACTGTCTCTAATCCAATATTCGACCATAATGAATAATGAAAAGCTTTCAGGTTGCTTTATTTAGAGCGTGAATAAAAGACTGTATTCGACGAGATCAGGCAGTTAAAATTCATACTATGATCTTCTGGGTTGTGACGCCGTTTAGTTTCGTCTAAACCTGTTACTTGTATCTACGCAAAAGACAAGCTGGAGACAGCACGTTCTTCCGAAACGCTATAGTAATCACTTAAGAAACGACACCGTGCCAAAACCAGTAATCACAAGCTTAAAAAACTCCGATAGACTTGAAAGGATTCTGACGATGGTGTATACTGTACTTCTTTTCGCTTATTTTGGACTTCACCCATCGTCCGGTATATAAAATATACCGTACCGGACGATGGGTGAAGTCCAAAATAAGTTAAAAAACTCCGTTCTTTAAATTGTTAATCCTTAATTTCATAAATTAAAAGTTACCAGATCCACAGGTCTATATAAATGGCAAAAATATTCACGAGTAGAAAGTGTTAGTACGCTACATACATTCGTGTAGATATATAAACGAACACGGTGCTCAGTGAAATAAAAAAGTGGAATACCAAATACGTACGAAAATTAGAAAACTACAATAATGCATTAGCAGTGAACCTACTAGACAACAGCGAAACTATACATAGACTGGAAAGATGCACTCTCCTAACTCCACAGTACAAACCTAAGTAAAACCCCAACACAAGAATTAAAATGAAACCTAAGCGAACAAAGAAAAAAGTATGAGTTACGCTACTGGGCATAACTCTTTCACGAGCCAGTGCTTATTGAACATATACATTTATTACAGGTTTTGTAGATTATGTATAATAAATATGTGAAAAAAATACTTCTTCCACCTTGACGGATTAGCATCTCTGGTCTGTTCCCATTCAGAATTAGTTCTGGAATAATGGATCTTGCAGACAGTCGGTAGGAAAACCCTTAGCGGCGGGTAATCTCGAAGCAATGCCGCTATCTATACAGCACAATACGTGTTCAAACGCAGGCAGCCATGCATACAGTTTGTTTCGAACCCATGAATCCAGTGCTTCAACGGACGAGAGACTTTGATGCTTTAGACCGCGTGGCCACTGTGATCTGCGATTTAAATACCGTGAAACATAAATCGTCGTATTAGTTTCTGGTGGTTCCCTATGGATGTGAAACTTGGTCTCTGACATTAAGGGAGGAACATAATCTGAGGGTGTTCGAGAACAGGGCGCTGAGGAGAATATTTGGACCGAAGAGAGATAAAGTGACAGAAGGTTGCAGAAAACTGCATAATGAGGAGCTTCATAACTTGTACTCTTCTCCAAGTATAATTAGAATGATCAAAACAAGGAGGATGAGGTGGGAAGGGCATGTAGCACGAATGGAGACAAGGAATGCGTATAGGATATTGGTGGGAAAGCCAGAAGGAAAGAGACGACTGGGAAGACCAAGGTGTAGGTGGGTGGACAATATTAAAATTGATCTTAGAGAGATAGGATGGGATGGTATTGACTGTATTGATATGGCTCAGGATAGGGGCCAGTGTAAGGCTCTTGCGAACACGGTAATGAACCTTCTGGTTTCATGAAATGCTGGGAAATTCTTCAGTAGCTGCAGAATTGGCGGCTCCTCCAGAACGGCTCAGCTCCATGAGTAAGGAAGTAAGTATTAGTTTATGTAATACTCATAATTAACTCGATTTTGGAAACTAGAAATCACAACGTTTCGGAAACTTCATCTCTTTCCGTCCTCAGGTGAGGGGGGAAGATATCTACTTTTTTTTTAAGGGACACAAGAGAGTAGGTGTCATCCCACCTCACCTGAGGATGGAAACAGAACTAGTTTCCGAAACGCTGTTTTATAGTTTTTAGAATACCTGACGATGGTCAAAGTCCAAAAAGCTAGTAATTCTGAGTATTATACACCAACATCAGAACCCTTTAAATTCTAGAGTCTTTAAATGGCGACCATTCAGGATACACGTTTGTCTGTGTGCATATGTTACCATATTGTGGAATGAAATTGTGAAGATTTGAGTGCATCAAACGCAAGAAGGGCTCAATAATCCAATAACCATATGTATATGACATCTGATTATCATTAGAGCGAGAGATAGTAAACGTGGCATTCAACCGAATGAGTGAAAATGTTTAGGGATCACACGTGAACTCCAGTATAAAGTAATTAGTTCCCAGTAATTGATAGCGACATTACTACTCGATCCTGTAATTAAAGACCGTGACGATTTACTTGGCGTAACAGAATGGAACTATTCACGCGGTCAGCTTTATCTAGACCCGCTTATGCGTGACACTCCTTCTCGCTTCATAGCCGTGAACACTTCCGAGGAGTAAAAGTTGAAAATCGCAAACACAGTGAAACTGTTGCACGGATTACTTTTGATTTGGCAACCAGATAACTTGCGTCAGTAATCTATAAAGAATTTGAGCCCATCCCAATAGGAACAAAGTACAGCATTCGATACGTACATTCCAGGGAAAGAGAGCGACAACTGAAAATTAATTTGATGAAAAAGTTACGAGCACAGTCTCACTATTGCGTCCATAGCAGTCTGCGTTTCAGCTGGCTGTAGAAATTCATAATAATTAAACTATAACAATTTTATCTGTTTCTCTTATATGGGCGTAGAACTTGGCATATCGCTTAAGCAGCCGTGTCAAACATGCGGCCTTTAGAGCTAATTGATATTAAAATCAATATTAAAATTTTAGTAGAAATATTTTTTGTAAAGACAATTTTCCAGCAGACCAGAAGAAAAGAAGTCTCACGCAGACATAAATTAGCAGGCTGCAGGAAATTCAATGTTTTGCTATTTCTAACATAATTTCTTGTGTAATCCCTCTTTTTACATATTGAAAAGTTGTTTGATACTTGTCAAAAATGGCATTTTCTTCCTTTTTAAAACTGTAAGATATGTGACTTTAGGTAATTATATTGAAATTATTTCGAAATAATAAATAGAATTAAATTTCCTTGTATCAAAATCTAATGTATATTTCTATTTTGAAGTGCGGCCCTGGACTATTATTTATAGGGCTGAGGTGGACCTCTGTAGAAGTTGAGTTTGACATGCCTGGCCCAGAGAGAGAAAAATACGTGTTTTGAGGGCATTTCAGAAAATAGAGCTGGAGGCAATTGTAGGATACAGAAAATTATTTAATGAGAGTCGTAATTTGTGATCTTTATCAAGGCGATTACAACAAGAACGAAAGTATTGGCAGGAGATACAGCACGCATATGGGAAATGAATTCATAATCAGTCTGAAACAAAATAGGAAGACATGAAACAAACTCTAGGCAGCAAGCAGCGTGGTGTAGCGGCAACTCTCTAGACTTGTATTCCGGAGTTGTTGGGTTCGAATCTCGGCCGAGGCATTGGCTATACTGACCCAGGTTTATGGTGATATTCCTCATTCCTACCAGGCAAATGTCATGATTAGGTCATGACCGCTTGCTTCCAAATCCTTTCCAGACGATTAAACGTCAAACATTGCACTATTCGAGGCTATGCTATAAAATACCTACAACGAACAACATAAGCACAGGGAAATACATCGTCGATTAGTTTAGACCAGACATTCTCACTCTCATTACCTTTGAGGAACCCTTGTATAAAAATTATTATGAAGGAAGGCTCTGGATCCAATGTAAATAAAGCTTCTAAATTGATCTTAATTAGTGTTGTTGGCAGCATGAAAGTTTATTGACAGTGCTGAACAGTAAAGTTACTGAAAACCGTAAGGTAAATGAAATCAATATGAACATAAATATCGTCTAAGACAATATTCTTTTTTAAACTAAAATTAGAAATAAAATTTACTTCTTTAATATGAACCCTGTGCTTGTTTTTTTCTGCACAAATACTTAATTATGAGTCGAACTTTAGGTAAGCACTCACGGAGTTCATCTTCATCTGAAGCGAGACGATTTCTGTCTTTGCTCTTGATGCTTGTTATAGAAGCAAAAGCTTCCTCACGCACGTAAGAAGATGTCGAAAACTGCAGCAGTATGTTTATTGCTTTCCTGCGAATGGCAGGACACTCTACTTTCACAGAAATCCAGAACTTGTCCAGGGATAGTTCAGTAAATCTCATCTTGAGTGTACGGTCAGACGGCAGCTCACAGATTTCTTCTTCTACCCTTAAAGTCAAGTTCTCAGGCCGAGCAGATGATTCAGGGTAAGGGCTCATCATCCAGTCATACAGTCGTGTTGAAAGAAGGGAAAGTAATGTTTAATTTGTTACGCAGTTCCTCGAGGTGGTTTTCAATAAGACTCAAGATTTGCCGATATCTTCTTCATTCTCAAGCCCCAGCAGCGGTGGAAACATTTCAAGATTTCCTTTCGCAACGTGATTTTTCCGAAGATCCAGTTTTATTTTAAAAGCAAAAATCTTATCACTCGAAGTCGAAAAATTTTGTCCGGGGCCTTGCAGAGACTGGTTCAACTGGTTCATGTGCTGAAATGTCTGCTAAGTAAACTCGTTTCTCCAGTCAGTCTTCATGTTCAAAGCATATTGCAAAATCTGGCTTACCGTTTTCTTGAAAGTAATCTTGCAATTCACCTTTCAGCTCAAACATCCTGTTAAGAACTCTTCCTCTGCTAAGACACCAGATTTCTGTACGTAGCATAAGGTTCATGTGCTGTTTGTTCAGGTTTTCACATAGTTTTTAAATATTCTGGAGTCTTTCTCTGATAACGTTGACCATTTTTGTAGCATCATCCATAAATTTTTCATTTCACCTCCAAGGGTTTTTCAAACCAGCACCTCTCTGAGAATAAAGCAGTGTGTTGTGACGTTAGGATTTTCTTTTTACAACAGGGGCGAAACCTTCGATGGAGCACCATCAGTACAAACGCCTACACAGTTCTCCCCAAGACACCTTTTGTTTCCAGACATGAAGACA